CAATATAAAAATTTTACACGGGCAGCTAATCTGTCACGAGACCTGTCCCAGTATCTTTCAGGAAACTGGTCCCAAGACTTCGATGGGACACTAGAAGAGCTGCGGCGAGAAATTATCCACATCAACTCCACCCGTCTAGATATCTCCGTAGCGGAAGGACTCTCTTCCTGGTTCCTCAGAGCTCTCTCCCACGTCAAGGAGTGGGCGGGCATGGCTGGGATGGGCGTGTTCCTGCTTGGAGGTCTCATGCTCTTACTCTGGTTGTTATGCAGACTCCGCAACCAACATAAGCAGGACAAGGTGATCCTTGCTCAAGCCCTAATGGCGATAGACGTTGGCGCCTCTCCCCAAGTGTGGCTCAACATGCTTAAGAAGGAAGCTCGGCTTTAGCTTGAGGTAGCTCTTGCACCCTGAGCCCATGTGGCACTGCACCAGGCCCGAGTACCTCAATGCTTAATCACAGCTTTCTTTAAGAAGCTCATGGTGCAAGAGGGTTGAGAAAAAGGGTCCAAACCCTTTGTACCAAGCGGTCCCAACGCCAGCCAGAGGATGCGAGGCAAAGCACTGCAAGAGGTCTTGGACCCCTCTGAGAGGCATGCCTGACTGCATAGGGGTAGATGCCCAGAACCCCTCTCCAAAAAGGGGGCATCAGGAAGTATGATGGAGGTCAGGCCTCTGTCTCCGCCTCTGCTGGCAAGTTCCGCCTTGAGCTTCTGTTAGACAAAAAAGGGGGAGATGTTGGCAGCCGCGCTCAGAAAATAGCGCCCAATGCAGGGCAGCCGGAAGGCCCCGAACTTCCTAATGACAAATCATCCCACACCACTAAACTACATGCTAATTGCGCCTTGGCATAAGGACCAATGAGACCCACCAAATGGTTATGCTAATAAGGCATATGGAGCCGCACCAACCAGGTCAGAGCATGAGAACTATATAAGCAAGCCTCTCCTTCCCCTCTGGGTCCTGCCCAACTCATTTGTTTCACAAAGAGCTGAAGAATAAAGCTTTCTGCAGAAGAATCCTGCTGTTGTTGCGTGCTGTTCTTGCCGGCGAGGACAGGGCACGCGACAACAAAGCTTTATTTCTCACAGCTGTGTTTATAATAGCCCAAAACTATAAAGAGCCCAACCCAAAGATCCATTAACAGGTGAATGGATAAAAAAATTATGGTATGTTCACACATGGAATACCACTCAGCAATAAAAAGAGATAAACTATTGGTACATACAACATGAATAAATATCAAAAATTTTACTCTGAGTGAAAGAAGTCAGTCACAAAAGGGCAAATACTGTATGATTCCATTTATATGAAATTCTAGAATGGGCAAAACTACTCTACAGTGACAAGAAGTACAGCAGAGGTTTCCTGGGGCCAGGGATGGGATGGAGCTGATTGCAAAGGCACATGAGGGAACTTTCTGGGTAATGGAAATATTCTGTATCTTGAGTAAAATGGTAGTTATATGGGTCTTTACATTTTTCAAAACTCAAACATTTAAAATAGGTACACTTTAATATATATTTATGTTGAAATTTAGTTATTTATAACTAAATTATGTTGATTATTTTAAAATGATAGACTCAACTGGTAAATTATTGTTCTTCCCTCTTTTTTTTTTCCTTAGTTACAGGCATGATGCCTGGAGGCACAGCAGCTACCTTGTGACTATGAGATAACAAGCATGAGGACAAGACTAAACACAAGTATTACAGGTCCAAGCTCGTGCCACTCACCGTACCACATGCCAATAAGTTGAGACGAAGTGTTGGGACAAGAAAAGAGATTTTACTCAGAAAGCCAGCAGGGTGAGAAGATGGTGGACTAATGTTCTAAAGAATCATCTTAACTTAGAGCTGATTTCAAGATTTTTTTTATATTAGGGGAGGGGGGAACAGGAGAGAGTTGAGGTCAGGAGGTGACAATCAACCTCTGATATCTGGACTTCAGCTAGGGTCTGACAAGGGTGATGAAACTCCTGTCCTTAGTTGACTACAGTCATTTTGTTGACATGGGTCAGGCCATGATGTTCCTGTAAGTCCTTGACAATCAGTCATCATTCTAGACATATTTCTTTATCTTCCCACCAGAGGCGAGTTTCAGGAAAGGGTCTGGTTGCATCAATCTTAAGTCATAGCAAAATTCCTTTTGATAATTAACAAGTCCATGTGCAGGGTTGAAGCCTCAGCAGAAGCTTTCTGACCCAAAAATTAAGCAGCAAAGGAGACAGATACAATATGAATGCAGAGATGCCAACCTTTGCACTGTTACATGAAGACAAAGCCTAAATCTGAGGACAGCAGAGGAAAGAAGGAAAGAACCTGGTGCTTGAGGCCATTTTTTAGCTGCCATACCATCCTTAGACTGCCAACCTCCAGACCTTCCTGTTGCTACTGTAATGGGTTTTGTTATTTCAGCCATATTAATTCTCAACCAAAATACAAAATCCCTCCATCCAGAAGATTTCCACTCCATCTTTACTTTTCATAAACTAAGGATGCATCCCTCCTCCTCCAGAATCCCAAACCAAAGACTCAAGCATAACCTTCAAAGGTGCATTTTGAAAATGGGGACTAAGTGAAGTTAATTATGCTGCTCCTCAAGATTACTATAATTCTTAGTCAAGATGGCATCATGGAGTACTTAAAAAGGGCCGAAAGGAGTTGGGAAAACAGACTGAGAAACAGCATAGACATCTTAAGAGACGGCAAGAAAATGCAGGGAAGAATCCACAGCTGGTATAGATGGGAATGAAACTGGATAGGTAAGCAGTAGCCAATTTATGCCGAGCTTTCTCGCATTATACTTGTACAATGTTATATAGACTAGTTCTACAAGTGATGTTTTAGGCAGCATCATTGTTAGTGAAACATAAACGTTTCTCCCTTAACATCAAATAGGCATCTCAAAACTAACATAACCAAATCAGAACTCTTCTCACCCCTAGCCCTGCTTCTAACCTAGCCTTCTCAAGTCTGGAAATGGCAAAACTCATTCTCGCAACATGTAAGTTCATTGTTCTGGGAGTCATCCTTAACTCCTCCCTCCCTCAAACCTGACATCTAACCTATCAGCAACTCCTGATGGTTCTACCAACAAAATGTGTCCCCAATCCAACTTCCACCGCTACCACCATCATCCCTTCAGGCTACCTGAATACCCTCATAATTGACATTTTTACATCCATTCTTGACCCCTTTCCTCCACAGGGCAGCCAGTGATCATTTTTCAAACATAAATCAGGTCATGTCTCTCCCTTGATCCAAAACCTCCATGATTTTTTGCCAGCTACTTTCCTGGTCATTACTAATCCTTCCCCCTACTCCCGATTCTTGGGACAAGTAACATGTACAGCTACAATCTCCATTTCCCAGGTTTCCTTTCAGTTAGGGAAGCCATGTGATCCAGTTCTAACCAATGAGACAGAAGAAGAAATCACTGTATAGGGATTCTAAGAAAGTCAATTTTCCTGAGAAAAGGGGGAGACTGTGGTACCATATATCCTTTGACCTTTGTTGTTCCCCTTTGTTCCTGCCTAGAAAGCAAATACCCAGATGTAGAGCAGCCATGCCAAAGATGTTGAGACAGGGAGGGAAAAGGGATCTTGCTCCTTGAGCAGCTCCATCAGTCCTTGAAGACCCATACTTGGATTCCTTGTTATGTGAGAAAAAAATAAATCCCTTAGGTGGTTAAATTGTTGTGGTGGAGCTTCTATTATATGTAGCCAAATACAATCCTGGCACAAGGTTCCCATCAGCCTTTAGAATATAAATTCCCAAAATCCTACATGATCCTTCCAACAGCGTCCCTTACCACTCTCTCCCTTATTCTTCCTGCATGGGACTCATGAACCCTTTGGGCTGTTCCTGGAACATGCCAACTTTATATCCGTCTCAACCTTTTGCCCTTGCTGTTCTGCTAGAATGCCCTTCCCCCACTTCTTTGAAGCCCCTCTTTACTCAACTTTCTGCTTTAATATCACCTCTATTCCAAGGTCTTGCCTTGACTACTTCATCCAAAATTGGCTCCTTCACTTTTTAATGCTTTAGTGACTTATTTTTATTCACAGTACTCACCCCTCCCTAAAACAGTCTCTACCTGAAAATATTTTTCATTAACTTGTTTACTTAATGTCCACCTACTCCACTAGAATGAAAGCCTCAAGAGATACAGGCACATCCCCAGTACCTAGAAGACAGCCCGGTGTTAAGTAGCCATTCAAAAGATATTTATTTAATCAAATCAATCAACAAATGACATCTTGAAATTGAGGTGGCCTCTTCCTTACAATTCACTCAGCACTCCTTTGTAATACAAAGACTATGTAACTATTTACCCAAAATTAAAGATTTGGTATCGGGTTTATTTTGGTATTTTTTGTCATGCCAGCACTTTTTTGGGCTAGCACATTTTCTGTTGGCACTCTTGGCACATAGACACTAAATTTCATAACCTCACCTGAAATTTGGGACCGGCCCTGTAACTTAAGGCTGATCTAATGACTGAATTCAGTATCAATGCGTCCAGACACCTATACTGACACTGAACGCCAGGGGCATTAGTTTCTCCCAAATCATCCAAATGACGGTGAATGGTGAGTCCATTTACAGACCAGGGACTCGTTTTTCCCTGACCTTTTCTAGACTGGCCCAGGGCCGTGAGCAATCCGTCCGCAATGTGGACAGTGCCAATGCCCAGTGGTGACAGCATCAGAAGGCCCTGGGCCAACCCAGCTCACATGATACAAGGCCAGTTTGAGCTCTCGGGGATACACGGAGGTATGGTTAGGTACCCGCAATCCGCCCACTTCCTACAAAGAGAGAAGCCGGACTCGCAGGCTCTGAGGTCCTCCCTGTCATAGGCGAACCTAGAAGCGGGTTTTTGCTTTCTTCGTACCCTCTCCCCAGCCTTGCACTCCCGGTTTTGACCCCAGGCCCGCGCAGCCCAAACCCGCACGCCGGGGACCGCCCACTCCCGTCGGCCCCCGCGGCCACCCACGTCGCCTTGGAAACGAAGGCAGCCAATCCGTGCAGCGGGTTACGCTCCACCCTGACAACAGCGCCGGTGGCACTTCGTTGGGGTGGGTTCCGCGGCCCTGCGGGCGGCAGACTGCGATGCTGAAGGCCAAGATCCTTTTCGTGGGGCCATGCGAGGTGAGGCGGGGCGGCGAGGGCGGCAGGCGGGCGCGGGGGAGCCTGTAGGAAGCGGGAACAGCCCCACAGCACCCACCCCGGTGTGCGCCGCTGGCCTCAGCGTGAACTCAGCGCTCCCCGAACTTGACCAGGTCTTACTGAGGCCCGAAGGCCCAAGGTAGTGAGTGGCGTGATGGAATCAGAGCCTAGGTCTCAACGACTGTCCTTTGCACCCGAGTTTGTCTCTAATGAATATGTCTGTGGGACAAGACAACGAGAAAGGGGAGAAGCTGGATTATTACATGGTCGTGGAATAATTGGCTATTAACGCATGTGTGGTGGTGGTAATGGGGATTAAATCTACATAGGTACTAGGTACTTAAGACCGTGCACCAGAATAAAATTCAGATGAACTAAAGCTAAACGTGTGAAACAAACATCGTGGAAGTAGTAGGTCAATATTCTTCAACTTCAGTACGTATCAGAATTGACTGAAGGACTTGTTAAGAAAACAACTTGCCAGTATTATCCCAGAGTTTTGATTCAGTAGGTCTGGAAGGGGCCTGAGAATTTACATTTTGCTGATGCTCTCCAGGGAGCACACACTGAGAACCACTGTAGTAGATGAATATATGAAGAGATATGTTTTAAATCTTGAGACGGAAGGTCTTAAGCACAACACAAAAATGAAGAAGCCTTAAAAGAAACGAAGTGAAGTTAAAGCCCGGGGCAAGTATCTGAAAAATATATTACAAAGAAAGGTGTAATAGGTAGAACATATAAGGAAAGTTTAAAAGTCAGTAAAGAAGAGAGAAATAGCTCCATAGAAAATTGAGCGAAAGCTCCACACACAAGAAATAATTGACCAGAAGGTATAAGATGCTCAGCCTCACAATCAACAGGAACCCAAATTAAAACAAGAAGTGACACTTCTTTGCCCATCAGATTGGATGGAAAAGGTTTAAAAGACAGACAACACACAGCATTAGGTTGCTTGCTAGGAACTGAGTATCTAGGATTCTATTGATCGGGCTTTAAATCAATAACAGCTTTTTTGGCAACCCAATGATTAAACTGTAAAATGTGTGTACTTTTAGTACAGCAATTACATTTCTCAGAACCAACTGTAGCTAATGCTTGTCCATGTTACCCGTGAATCATGTACACTATTCAACAGCGGAAGAGCCCCTAGGTACCCATCAACAAGAGAATGTCTCAATAAGCTAAAGTACATTCTCACTTTAGAGGATGGTGCAGCACTTACGGAAAAAGGCAAGTCTGTGCGTCCTGCCCTGGAGAGCTCTCCAAGACAGAAACTCATAAGTGAAACTGACAAGTAGTAACAACAGCACAGAATTATGAATAGCAAACCAAGCATACATATTTTCCTGTTTAATGGTAAATCTCAAACATATGCAAAGGGAGACAGAACAATAAACTCCTAGTATCCATTACGCAGCTTCAACAACAAAATATGTTTCTGTATATACATATCTCCCTCTTGTTCACTACTCTTCAGATTTACCAGTCTTCCTGTTCCTTTAACATGCTATGCCAGTTTCAGCCCTGATGCCTTTGAACTGGCTGTTCCTCTACTTGGAAGCCTTGGTTGACTCATTGTCTTTCAAATCTTAGATTAAACGTCATCTATTCAGCCTTCCCTGACCACTCAATTCAGAGTCTCTATCACGTTACCCTGCTTTATTTTTATCCCAGTACTTATCACTACTGCATCTTAGTGATTCAACAGCACCTGGCACAAAACAGACACTGAAAAATTATTTATGTGCCTGAGTCACAGTCAGGTTCTTCTTTTTCCCATAAGAACCCTCCCCCACCAATAAGTTGGTTTTGGGCAACTTGTATACATAAACTTTAAGGGCCTGGATAAAATATAGAAGTACACTTTTATAATGTTTTATGTATTGATGTAGCTGTACACACATTTAAGTGTACATTAAGATATATATTAACTTGGAAATGCTGTATTACTCAGTTCTTGCATTTCATGACAAGGCCCCTCACCTTTGACACCCGAGTCATCTTCACGACTAATAGAGCCACTTTCTGAGCCCCATAACAAAGCATATCATCTGAGCGCAGCACTTTTTGAATCTGTGTCTGACCCTCTTCCTGGAAATGTATTCCAGTCCAAAGAATCATTCTTATAACATCAGGCTCTTTGGTCAGGCTCTTTGCTTTATTTGTCCATCCTATAGATAAGTATTCATGATCTATGCAAGCATAGCCACTTACTGTTAGTTTTAAGTGACATTCAAGGTATGAGGCCACATCCTTAGGAAAAATTATTAAAACACTGTTAAGTCTTGTCCCCCCACTCTCCTTTTCTGATCTTGCCACATAACTTCTGCAAGTCTCCCAAACTGGCTATGAGTGAGGTCATTCTAGTCAAGCCATTGCTCAAGACAGAGATAGAGCAGAGCATAGTTTTTGATAAGGACTCAAGTGTAAGAGATTTCCTTTCTTCTAAGAAATAATTTGCAGAAGAAAAAAACTTATGTCCAAGCATGTACAGTATTTGTTAAATGAATGGTGCCAATATACAGAAAAGATCTGAAAAACAGATCATGGTTGGCACCTTTGGGGTAGGGGGTGGAACAGACACAGGTGGATACTTTGGGTGGAGGGACCAGGTGAGCTGTTTTGTTAATTTCCTTAAATAGGAATATGTCATGCTTGTATTGTCTAGAAGGAGAAACAGCCCTATGTGAGAGTGTGGCACAGCCAGCCAGGAGACCCCAGACCTGGGCCCCAGCTCTGACTTTGAACTTCTGTGTGACCTTGAGGAACTCTCTTCCCCTTTCTGGGCCTCATGTCTGTGACAGACTGAGGACAGACATCTTGAAGATGCAGAAAGGAGAAAGCCCTCTGTTAAATTTTTTCCTGTTCTCAGATAAGTTACCTGAGAGCCAGCCAGGGAAATCAGTGGGTAATGTCACCCCGTGGCAGAGCCAGCACTGGAACCCCTTGCTTCCTGGGTCCCAGGCGGGGCTGTGCCTGCCACGTAGAGCAAGGCGGTGAGGCCCACCCCACCAGAGAGAGCCCTCCGCCTGGGTGATCTTGGGTGACCTGTACTCTGTCATTGTACCCGGTTCCGAGCTAGCTGTTGGAGGCTCGCGTATGGTTTACTTCTTGGCTCTTCAGCAAAGATTTTTTATTATCTTCATCTTCACAGAGTGGAAAAACTGTTTTGGCCAACTTCCTGACAGAATCTTCTAACATCGCCGAATACAACCCAACCCAAGGAGTGAGGTGAGCCCTGCAGAACTGTCCCCCGGAGAGTCCTGGTCTGCCACCCACCCTGTACCTTTGGTGATGGTAGCCTTCCAAAAGGCTGTATCCGGAGTACAGATGCCACTGTTTCTGTTTTTAGGATCCTGGAATTTGAGAACCCACACGTTACCAGCAGCAACAAAGGCACGGGGTGTGAATTTGAGCTGTGGGATTGTGGTGGCGATCCAAAGTACGTTTCCTTTGAAGCAGGTTTGCTTCATCAAATGATTCAAAGCTCAGCTGCCTGCCAGGCACCTTGGACTCGGCCTAGCATTCTTATGAGCATTTATGAGGGGCTTGATCAATTATTTGATGACATGCATTGCTCTTGAAACCTTAGCGATCAGGTTCTGATACAATGGGAAGTCACCCATCAATTATTAATACTTAGAGATTATTTCTAAAGTCCACAGTGAGAAACCCAGAACCACCTAAGATTCACTCTAGAAGCCCCTTTTGCCTTGTAGGTTCGAGTCTTGCTGGCCAGCCCTAATGAAGGATTCCCACGGAGTGGTGATCATCTTCAATGCTGACATCCCGAGCCACCTGAAGGAAATCGAGATGTGGTATTCCTGCTTTGTCCAGCAGCAGTTCTTACAGGACACCCAGTGTCTGTTAATCGCACACCACAAACCAGGCTCTGGAAGCGTTAAAGGAAACGTGTCTTTGGGTAAGGAGGCTGGCATTCTGCTGTTGGCTTTTGGCTTGGATGTTCTGGGCCAATTTGTATATTGCTCTATGTCTTTGAAACCAGCAGCCCTGTGCAGTTATTGAGCACCTACTGTGTCCTAGACGTTAAATTAGAATTTTTAAAATCACAATTTAAGTCACTGTGTAAATCAGAATTGCCAGGTTGGAAGGTCTGCCGTACCATCCAGGCCAAGATGCAGACACTTTAAAAGCAGGCAGACACTAACAAGGGGAAAAGCCTGGTTTTAGCCACTCATGGGTACCACTAAGAACACTCTTTCCTGACCAGCCTTTTCTCAAGAAAAACTCCAGTTTGCATTTAATACTCACCATCACAGAGGTGACAAAGCGATCATCAGAAATGATTCACAATATTGATAAATCTCTTCCTTTCTGGGGTGAAAACAGAGGATCTGGAAGTGGGAAGGGGCTTATAGAGTCGTTATACTGTTGCCAGGTGGCAATGTGTTGAAACCTCTCTATGCTCCATTATGTCAGGCAATACACAACTTTATTTTTGGACTTTAGAGAAGTCAAATGAATTGGCTGCCATAAGACTCAGATCATTTAGAGCTAGAAATGGCCCCTCGTTAAAAAGTTCACGCCTAAATTACATTATTTTCCTTTTTAAGCGCCACCCTTGAACAAGCTGAAGCTGGTGCACTCACACCTTGAGGATGACCCCGAAGAGATCAGGATGGAATTCATAAAGTATTTAAAAAACATAGTCAACTCAGTATCTGAGAGCAGAGACCGGGAGGAGATGTCAATTATTACCTGACCAGCCTTCATCGGGACTTGCCCACATCCCACAGGAAGCCAGCTGCTTTCCCAGCACAGATTTGAAACCTTACCCAGCTGCTGATGCTTTCTTCTCCCTGTGGCTGTAAAACAAAGTTTCCTTACCTGTCTAAAGGTACTAGTCAGCCAGGGAGTTGAGTCTTACCATCTATCCTCTGTCCTTAGTTCAGCTGAGAAAAGCCTATTATTGAATTCTGATTCCTTCACCCCAGACCTCTCCAAAGAGCTAGAAAACAGGTTTTGTTTCTCCCCCTTCACGTTTGTCAAGTTATAAAAATTGTGGAATTGTAACTGTCATAGCTCAATTATACAGCAGTGGTTGAATCCGTGTGTATTGGTTTGAATGTGATTTTCCTTACTTAATTCACTCAACAAATACCAATTTGTTGAGCATCTACTATGTACTGTGCTGCTCTAGCTGCTGATGGTGTACATTAACAAAACATAAAAACCCTTGTCCTCATGGAGCTGCTAGAATATATTATTTTTATATATGTTAATTATAGAAAATACATTAACTGTATATTTCTAAATAATAGGAAGAGTCAAAAACTTATTAAAAATTGTGGATTCTTCATTTTCTGTAATTGGTCTACATCCCTGCTCCCATCCTCCTGATAATGAGGGGACCTGGAGCACCTATGATGCCAAATGAAGGTACAGTTGATCTTTATTTGTGGATTTTGTGTCTGTGAATTTGCCTACTTGCTAAAATTTATTTGCAACCGCCAAATGAATACTCTTTGAGGTCCATTATCCAGCCTACCACAGCTGCCATTCACTGAGGCATTCATGGAAAAGGAGAAGCAGATTTTTGTGGGGGGGAGATGACAAACAACTAGTCCAAGATGACCCAGCAAATTAGGGACAGGGACAGAACTAGATGCTGCACCCCTGCTCTTTCCAATGTCTCATGGTAAGTGGGCAGATGAGTCCACAGAGGAGCATGGCCAAGAGAGGCACCTCTGAGGTCCATCCTAGTAAAGCAAGAACAGTAGCAGCAGAGCAAGCAACTCCTTTGAAGCCAACTACCCAGAAAAGGGTTTGCAAGTATGTTGCAGACTGCAACTAGCATCTTATTTCTTGACCAGTCAGATGACCAAGTGGGATTCTGAAGCTCTGTTGCAAAGAAAACTAAGACTTACTCATTTACACAGTAACCTGAATGTCCATATCTCAAAACCGTTCAGGAAAGCTCCTGGAGATCGTGATATACTTTTTGTGGAAGACCGTAAGACTCATTTAGCCAAAGGGTAGGCTAAATTGCTACAACAAAGAGTAGAGCTGTGCTGGTAAGAGGGCATCTAAGAGTTAATAAAAATGCAGTACTCCTGATACGCATTGAAAAGAAAACTGTGTGTGTACCACTTAGGAGAATTCCTCTGAACTATGGCTCTGCTAGATCTTGACATCAGCCTTCCCCACCTGATTGTTGAGAATTACATGACATGGTCTTGGCTGATACCTTCTCAACAAGTGTATTCTTTCCTTAAGCAAGAAATAAAAGAATCCACGCTTTAAAAACCAAAACCAAAGAAATTAAATAAATGAGGAGGGAGGAAACTCTCTGCTTTTGAATGTTAAGCACAGATTACATATTTTTGATGTGACTTCTGCTTTATCAGTTAAATAACTCTACATTTACAATATGGGCCATTCTTCCTACTGAAGTTAAAAGCCAGTGGAAATGTTGTATATCTGCCAAGTATTCCCCACTTCAAAAGGGAAGTTCTTGGTGCTTTGATGTGAGCCACACTTCATCTATCTTTCAGCACACTATAGTTCATTCTTATCTAGGTTTTCTGATAGCCTCTAAAGGTATCCCTCCTTTCTCAAAAGCTTCAGTACAGATTTACTCCACACTTAAGGCTGTTTGGATCAGGCATAGTTATAGATCTTAGACATTCAAAGTGTATAAAATAAAAACTTTTACATTTATAGTCTTACTGGAGTTTTGTGATGCACTGTATGTAAGAATCGTCTTTTTTAATCTTTTGTGTGACTTCATAAAGCCCAGAAAACACCTAGCCATGAATTACCCATATTATGTAATGAAATGTTTTGTTCCACAGGAATAGAATTCTAATTTTATCAGAGTATAAGGAATTGGTTTCTACTTTCAGAAATCCAGTTGAAGTACTTTTCAAGAATATTTTACAAATCCAACTACACTTGACATTTATCACCCTTTCAGGGGTGTAACTGCCAAAAACAGGAAATTGTGCTCCACATTTTTTTAAAAAATGACAATGGCTTTACGGTATCACAAATGAGATGAACAATCTGAAGAGGATGATTCTTCTGTATGAGAAGACTAGTAGGAGACAGTAGGTGCGGTCAAATTATTTGCCAGCTAAGGAGCATGGACTTGATTCTATTAACCGTTGGACCTTAAGCAGAACAGGGACAAATACTTCAGTGGCTGCGGAGAGAGTGGGGAAGACTCGGGGCCGGTTGACTAGGAAATGCAGTGTCTGAAATACAGCACTGAGGGTGGGCAGGAAGAAAGAAAAGGATGGACCCCGAAGGTATTTGGAAGGTAAAATTCGTGTTTGAGTGGGCAAGAAGCGGGAGAAAGGGTTTCAAACCCCAGCCTCAGTTTGGCGTCTTATTGTAAGCGCTAAAAGTACGAGTTAACCAATGACTTCATTTCCCACAATCCTTAGGGCAGCGTCGCCTGCATTTCCCAGAGAGCTGTGCGATGTTCGCGCCGGTCTTGAGCGTCCGTCGAAACAAAAAAGGGTAAACCAGGGGAGACGTGGTTCGTAACGTTGCTTTACAACTGAATTTCCAATTCTCATTTCCTCCTCTGTCCCTCTTCTCTAGAGGTTTCACGCTTCTTTGTTGCCCGACTTCAGGAGCCCAAATATCGGGGCACTGTCTCCTCAACAACCTCACGTTACCGTTTCGGAGAGGCTGAACGGAAAGCGAAGCGTGTCCGGAGCTTTCTGGGAAATGTAGTTCAGCCAAGTGACTTGGCCTCCTCGGGTCCCAGAACCAAGGACTGATTGGCGGGGGCGCGTGACCGGTCGGTTTGGAAACCGTGAGGGTGGGAGCTGTTCGGCTCACGGCCACCTGCAGGCCCAGGCCTCGGACCGCCGCAGAGCCACTAGGGCTCTGTGGTAACGGGCTCGCCGCGAAAGACAGAATTGTAGTTGGGCGGGCGCCGGTGCGTGCCCGGGGGTCCCAGTCGCGGCGTTGACGCTCGCCCGCCCGGTCGGAGCGACCTCGGGAGCCCCAGCCCGACTCACCCTTCGGGTGGTGAGGATTGCCGATTGCCACATCGGGGCGAGCTTCTCCCGCTTTACCTGGGCCTCCAGCACACAGGCAGGTGGGCAGCCGCCTAGAAAGGCGATGTCAGCCGCGCCCGCCTCCTCCTACCCGGGCATCGGCTTCTCTCGGCTGAGTCCTGTCCAGGGCTCCCTGGGAGTGCAGTTCGCTGGCGTTTGCGGAGACACACACACACACACACACAGTGGATCATAGGCATGAGAAAGGGATCGAGTGTAAGAGTGTAACCTTTAGAGATCATCTAATCCTCTTCTGTTGAGAAGGAGGAACCGAAGCCCAGAGAGTCAATGATTTACCCCAAATCGATGCTGGGGCCATGGCTGTGTGCTCACGCCTGCATGTCCAACACGAAACACAGTGCCTAGCACAAAACAGGCGCCCAAAAGTTCGTTTAAAAGTGTTATTTCGTGTAAAGGACAGACAGCTGAAATACTTTTTAACAAATTACAAGATTTCTAAAGAGGGAAGTGGACATGTAGATGAAGAGACATACCAGCCAAATGCAACCTGTAGATCTTACTCAGATCATGATTCTAACTACCAACCTTACGATTTTTTTAAATCAGGAAAATGTGAAAATTGGCGCTATTAAGGAATTACTGTCTAAATTTTTTAGCTGTGATAATGCCATTAGGGTTATGCTTTAAAAAGGAAGAGTTTAGGGACACTGCAGATTTTGTGGGTGAAATTTGAGATTCGCTCGAGAAATATCCAGTGGAGGGTGGGGGAGGTGGGGAGAGCAGATGAAAGGAAACTGGCCAAGTGGATAATTATTGGAAGTGGACCCGGGTGCAGTGGGATCACTCTAAACTATTCTCTCTATTATTATATATACACAAAAGATTTAAGTGCCATTTTAATTCTTACCTGCTAGAGAGACATTCTGAGTTATCAGAAAAAAAGGTATGATGTCTGAGAGAATTTGCTTTAAAGTACTTCACGCACAAAGTGTTGTGGGACATGGAGGAAACAAGAATGGCAGAAAATGAGTAGCTAGGGAAACTGGGTAATGGGTATGTGAGACTTTGTTGTTTTATATTCCCTTTAGTGGGATTGAACATTTCTATAATGAATGGGTTTTATTTAATTTTTCCAACCATATTTTATGTGTTTCAAAAAATTTCTGAAATACGAAGAGTCTCATGAGTTTCTCTGAAACAACCCTCCCACGGCACAAATGAGCCACCTTGGGGGCATCTCCAGGCAAGAATGACCACAGCAGTAGTGGGGTCGGGGGGACTGTGTCCTGGGCCCCCCAGATCCCTCAAAAGCAGGACAGAATTCTGATGGTGAAGGCGGAGGTGTGGAGGACCCCTGTGGGGAAAGAGACCTTGTTGCCAGGGAATCAGCCTCCTCACAGGGAGCCGGCCCCTCCGCATGTAAGACACTTCTGCCACCTGGAGCTCTGGGGCCGTGTGAGGTTCTGAGATGTCTCCAGGAGCTCTGCCACCAACAGCTGAGGCCAAAGAGACAGCAGGTTGCCATGTGGGCAGTGGAGAGGATGTGGAGCTGGTGCGGGAGGGTGGCAGTGAGAACTCCGTGAACCAGGGCACGGGAGGAGGAGAGAACAAACGTAAAAATAGGGAGGGGTGAGGCCACCAAAGGAAACTCAGGCCACATCTATTTTGACCCCACACTGTGTCTTTCTCTGTTCCTCTTGGGTCTTCCCTTTCATTCTTGAGGATCAAATTAGATTTTGGATGATTTCCAGGTTTTTTTCTTCTTCTTCTCTGACATTCTGATGCTCATCCTTATCTGGGTATACTTCATTTAAGTCATTATTTAAACCACTCCATTCTTAAGTCACTCTCAACAGAAATGAAAATACATACTCTTCCTTCACAACACAGAGTCACATGCAGGTCTCACATTTCTAGCTGAGTGTCCCATTCTCAGAGCTCCTTCACTGTCATCTTGAAACTCAAAAGTAAGGGCTCCTCTGTACCCCTCTGTATACCTTCTTGCCAAAAGACTAGCCATGAAGTGGGATCCTGAAGGATGTTATCTTCCCCCACCCTCTTAGCAAACTTGTACTCTCTCGGGACACTAATCCAAAGTTTAAAAAAATTCTCAGGCTCCACAGACATCCGGGCCTCATCCTCATAAAGAGACTGTTGAAAAGCAGGATGGAACATCACCACTTACAGACCTGTGCTGGGAGCTGAGTGGGATCATCAAACTAGCATGAGAGCCTAAATCAAGAGCATAGAGAGGTACTGAGCTCGTTGGAGGTCAGCAGAGAGTCTCAGGCACCCCAGCCACAGCGAGTGTCCTTCACTCCCTGAAGTTACAGTGGACACAGTACTGGGCCATTTCGAATTCTGCTGCAGTAGCCCTTTAGCCAAACCACATTCCATGGTGTGGCTCATGGAAACCTTTATTGAATATTCTTTATTTAAGGATATCATTTTTTTTCTTCCCTTCATGTGCCCTGTACTCCGCAGGTGAAGGGAACCTGGGAGATCAAGGGGTGTGTAGAGAGGGGCCTGCTCCAGAGAAAGGCAGGCAGTTCAGGGAAATAGACGCCATGAGTCGGCCCCATGTCTATGCCTTCAGAGAGGAGTCATTACATGGCTGTTTGCTGTAAACCCCCAGAACGCAGCACTTTCTTTTGTAAAAGGGACCGTACATGCTCACCACAGGGGCTGCCGCTTCGATCAGTCGTGCTCTCTGGTCTTGGCCCGAGCATGAGACACCAAGAGTTGACTTCACAGATTTGGGCGTGTCCATGGACTCCTATCAGGGGACCATTGAGTCCCTTCTTGTTGGCGTGTGGTATGATTGAAAGGCTCCCACACTGAAATAAGTGACACATTACACAGCTTCTAGAGTCTCCTGTCTCCACAGGGAGCTATGGGACACAGATGTAGAGAGAGGCCCGAGGCAGGGATGACATGGTGCCCACTGGACTGGATGGGTGGGATGTTAAAGTACTGCAATGCTTCTGGACTGGTTGGTAAGCAGCTGCTGCTCTGAGTCCCCAAGTGCCCAGCCAGCTGCCTTGGCCACCTCAGTGACCCCCCTGACCCTTAAGACCTTTCTAGGGTTCAGCATCTAATGGTTATTACCTGGTCCTGCGAGAGGCCTCTGGGTCTTCTAGTTGGTCAGTGTTTGGCCCCTACCAGTTAAGTGTAAATCCTCCTTGGCCTTAAGCTTTTATATACCCCCACTGTCCCTGCTGATGGACAGCTGAGCAGCGTTACACAGCGAAATGAGCATTGTAGCCAACCGGATTCTGGTCCTGGCCCCACTGCGTACTAGCTGTGCGATCCTGGGCAAGTCCTTCCCCAAGCCTGTTACCTCATATGTAAAACATCAAGTAAAATAATCAAGGAGAAAGGGCTTTGTAAAGTTCAAAGTGCTCACATATACAAGTTATTTTTTTAAGTTATTGTTGGTGATGTGTATGAGTTCTTTGTTCAACACAGGACTGTATCCTTCAACTCAGCTCTCTTCCCTCAGCCTGGGCCTCTTCCTTTTACCCTTTCTGAAGTCACCTCGGGCCTTGATCCCCTGCCACCCTCAAGGATGGCCTGGGACTCTGCTCCTTGGAGGGCACTGCGCTTGGCCTCTTGGGGCAGCTTCCTTAGCCGCCTGCCTCCCCTCCTCTTCCTGAGTGGCCAAGAGAGGCCAGGCTTTCTTCCCAAACTTCTCAGACCTCCCCTCCTGTCACCCTCCCACCACTCCCAGCCCTTCTCCCCAGGGTTGTAAAATAATAATTCAAGGGTCTTTCCTTATTATAAAAGTAATACATTTTCATGATAGACCATTTAGAAAATATAAATATGCCTAAAGACAAAATGAAAGTGAAAATAAAAGGGAAGGAAAAACAAAGCAAAACAAACATCTTACCACGGATAAGTATTTTATAACCTGCTTTAAAAAAAAAAAAGTGTGATCATTAAGTATTCTTCTATCACCTCATTTTTCCTTGTTGTAGTATATGCTGTAGTGTATTTAATGATCCCCTGTGGTGGGCACAGATTTTATTCTGATAGCCTTTTTTGCACAGCAAATGGGTAATATTTGGATCCCCTACATATGATTTCAGATGGCGACCTCAGGACCAAGGACAAGGAATCCAGCTCAGGCCAGGAACTTGCTGAAAGATCCCATGGGTGACTCAGGCAGGCTCCAGGGAAGCTTTTCTGGCACAAGAGCTGGGAGACACTTCAGAATGTCCCAGTGCCTTAGACAAGCATCAGGGAGCCTCCCAGTAGGGAGGCCGAGCAGCTGCCCTGCCCAAGGGTTTCAAGCAGGAGAGAGAAGAAAGACGCCGTGAAGGTGACAAGTGTGACCAAAACTCCAGCCCGGTGAGTTCCTTGTCCCAACTCAGAAAAGTTGTCCAGGCAGAGACCCCACAGATGTGACCCGTGTGGCCCCCACTTCTGGGCAGCCCAGCCCTCGTACAGCATCAGAGCCTGCAAAGGAGAGAACCCTCAGGTGTGTACTCAGAGTACACTTCCACATCACCCAGGCCCTCCTGATAGACCAGGTCAGGAGAGTATTACTATGATGAAAGGTTGGTCAGTGTTTGGCCCCTGCCAGTCTCTTTGCAGCACATGAGAGAAAGGCCATGGGCAGGAGAGGCCAGGGTGTGTGTTAGCTGCAGGGACCTGAGGGACATGGCTAGAGAGAGGCAGTGGGGAGGGCATCCTTCCGGAAGCCTCATCCACAAACACGGGCCTCTGCGTGGCTTTGTAGCTGGCTTGCCATGTGTTGCCCTGATGTGGAAGGGTGCAGGCAGCTGGCCTGTGCAGCGGCTCGGCTCATCACCCAGCTACTCCGCTGTCACGTTAGCCACCTGGCCTCCACTTTAGTCCCCTCTCTGGCCACTTTTCTGTCACTGGTACCCTTTTTTAAAAACATAATCCATTTGTTTTCTTATCAATAAAGTCATGTGTGTCTGTAACAAAACATTTAAAAATAGATATAAGCAAAATGAAAAAAATGTAGTCACCTCTTCCAGAATCACTGGTAACATTGTCTTTCTAGCATTTTTTTCTTAGCATAGATATACATTTTCTCCACTTTTCAGGTTTCCCTAGAAAGGAGGTGGGGAACCTCCTTGGGGTCCACAGCTACTCGACTGCACTTCACCTGGTTTCTGAGCCAGGACCAGACAAGGTCCCCACAGGCCTTTGTGAACGAAGTGGCTATGCCTCTTGTGGCCACAAGAGGGAGGTGTTTGCTGTTTGCTCATGCATGTCTGTCCCAAAGCCTGTGGGGACCCCTCAGGCCTGTCCTTGACCCACAAGATGTTTTCCCCCAAGTCCAGGAACTGGCAGTTCTCATGGAAGCCAACCGTGGTTGGTCCTAGCTTTATTACTCATTCTGCACACTGCATTTCTTGGAAACCTTGGTTCATGAGGAAAAAAGACATAACTCAAATGCTCACTCTTGGACCACATCTGCCCAGATTGGACAAATCCTTGAATAATAGCTCTCTCCTCGCTGTTGAAGCCTTGGACTTCCAAGGGAAGGGGTTGTGGGTAAAATGGTAACATTTCCAGAATATCTTGCCTGGCTTTGGTACATCTACCTATCAACAGGCATTCAGAGGTGGAAAGAAGTATAGTTTTAGTGCATTTGCATTATTCCTCAGCGGTGAAGAAGTTCATCTCCATATCAATGGGTAATTACCCGAGCAAGGAGGGCTTATCTGTACCCGCAAGGTGAGGGGTAGAGCCGGTTTTGCTGCTGCCTGACCAGGAAAGAGAGAAGATCCTGGACTGCAGCTTGTAAGCAATAAATGGATTTTAAACTTTATTTCTCCCTGTGACTGATCTCGGTTTTTATAGGTATTTTGCCCAGGGATTTCCTCTCCCAAGACAAACATCTGGCAGTAGTCAACAGGATTCCTCTGAACTTGAAATCTATTATAATGGGTGCCACTTTTGGGAGGGCCGCCCCAAGAAGTGATGAGGAGAAGTGGCACTCGCGCAGAGGGACATGTGTCTACACTCATGTGGTCGTGGAGGTGCCACCACTCCTGCTGGCCATGCCCACCCTGGCCCGTGGCCTGAGCCTAAGGCTACTGCTTCTGCCACTGCTGCTGCTCCTGCTACCGGCTGAAGCCTGGCCACAACCATGGAAAGGAGCAGAGGTCCGGGTCACCTTGATAGAGAAGCAACTGGCTGCTGTGTACCACACCTTGCTGGCTATGGAGCCCATCGCTGGAACAACTCCGACCAAGGTAATAACTACCTATCCCAGCGTGGGGTGGGTGCGAGACTGGACCCAAAGGCCATGGAGTGGCATGGCACAGACACCTACTGTATATCATGTGACTGGCCACTTGCCTTTGGCATCCCCAGGGAATGATGAAGCAGACACATTGGCCCACATGCGCTGGCTAGAAGGAAAGTCTGCCTCTGATGTGGCCCAATGACTACATCAGCGTTTGTTGCACATGGGGCAAAAGACAATGTGGGCTGTAGCCAGTCGATGGGGCTTGCCATTGACCTTTGAAGAAGTCATCTGAGCCCAGGAGTGCCCTGCACATTGCTCAGATGAGCAAACCACCAAGAGGGCCCTAGAATGTCTCTTTGCAGCCTATGGCCAGTCGCCGGTGATTGAGACCAATCAAGGCACCCACTTTATTGGACATCTGTTGCAAGGATGGATGCAGCAATTAGGAGTAAAATGGATGTAGCCCTGGACATTTCAACACGTGAATTGGCAATGGTTGGCTCTTCTGGCATCTTGGGGAAAAGGCCTGGAAGCTGCTGGCCTCCTGTGTATTAACAGCACAGTTGTTTGCTTCTACAGTCCTTGTGTCCTGGGTGCGCCCCCTGGCTGGAGCTGCTGCGTGATGGCTGGAATGGACATGCTTTGGACTTAATCTGCATGGGATTTTGAACCTAGCTGAATCCTCTGGCTTGACAATTACATGATTGTGTTGCTGTTGTCAAGAAAAAAATGCTTGAAGAGAGGCTTGACTTTGTCTAATGTTTGGTAAAAGTTTTGTGAGCAATCTAGCATGGTTTTTAGGAATGAGTAAACAAGTGTAGAAACATATTTTGTGCTTAGTGAGAGATTGTGCTGTAAAGTACATTTACTTAATCTGCATAGGATGAATTCTCTGGCTTGACGATTATCGTGATTTGATTGCTGTTGCTATTGTATGTCATTAGTTTGGTCGAAAGAGGGGGAATGAGTAAATTGTAAGGCGAGATTTCTGGAGGGGTGGCCTGTGGGTAAAATTGTAGTATTTCCAGATTATCTCGCCTGGCATTGGTAAATCTGCATATCAGCAGGCGTTCAGAGGTGGATAAAAGTATGGCTTTAGTGTATTTGCATCTTTCCTCAGGGGTGGAGAAGTCATCTCCATATCAATAGGTAATTACTTGGGCAACAGAGGGCTCATCTGTACCTGAGAAGTGAGGGAGGGCCGTTTTTGCTGCTTCTTGAACAGGAAAGAGAGAAGGGCCTGGACTGCAGCTTGTAAGCAATAAACGGATTTTAAACTTTATTTCTCCCTTTGAGTGATTTCGGTTTTTAGAGGTATTTTGCCCCAGGATTTCCTCTGCCAGGACTAATGGGTAAACTACAGACCCGCTCAAGCCATTCCACAGACAACACTTCATAGTTTCCCATTGTTTTGAGGGTCTAGTCTGAGCTCCTCCTAAGGGCCCTGGATGACATGGTCCCTCCTGGCCTCCCCCACGTTATACTCTGTTTTCCTCACATGCGACACTGGCCATCCTCCAGCTCCTTTCTGCGTCATCACCAGCAGACCTTCCCATGTGTTTCTGGAAGGTACTGTCCAGCACATATCAGGCCAATGTTTATTCTTTCAGGTTCCTTCTTTCCAGAAGCCACTCTCAACCCTGTGAGTCAGGGTTCCATGATCTCTGTTTCCCTAGGGCCCAGTATTTCCCCTTTCAGGCCAGATTCCCGCCTTCTGGAAAAGAAGTTCCCTGAGGGCAGGGACTGTGTCAGCCTTATTCACTCACCACCCCAGCACTGAAGCACAGCACCCAGGGAACCCACGGGGCTCAACAGATTTGTTACAGGGATGACAGTGAGCCTGCCTTTGCCTCATCCTGAAGTAGAGTCTACAAAAGCCAGGCCTCTTCTCTCCATCCACCCCCACCCCCTGGTCCTCCAGGTGCCCCTCTGTGGGTACAATTGTAACATTTCCAGAATATCTCACCTGGCTTTAGTACAGCATATCAACAGGTGCTCAGGGGTGGAGAGAAGTATGGCTTCAGTGCATTTGCATCATTCCTGGGGTGGGGGGGGGTAGAGATAAGCATCTCCATATCAATAGGTAATTACTTGGCAACTGGAGGGCTTATCTGTACCTCAGAGGTGAGGGGAGGACTGGTTTTGCTTCTGCCAGAGCAGGAAAGAGAGAAGGGCCTGGACTGCAGTTTGTAAGCAATAAATGAATTTTAAACTTTATTTCTCCCTTTGATTTCAGCTTTTAGAAGTATTTTGCCCTGGGATTTCCTCTCCCTGAACTTACACCCTCATGTCCCTTAAGTCCAGGAGAAATGGCTTAAGGAATAACAGTACTAAAGGGCCAGTTCTGTCCTTGTGGTGGGAGCCAGTGGGATTAAGAATGAGACAGACCTAGCTTCAGTTACTGGCTCTGCCACTGACCAGCTGTGCTCACACCTTATTTACTTAATTACAGAGTGGAGTTAATGGGTACCAGCTTGTGGACGGGAAACCATATGCTAGCCTGACACATGGTGGCCGCTCCTTAGATTGAGTCCTTCCTCTCTGCCTCCCCATCACTCTTCCCTAAGCCCCCTTCTTGAAGCTTGGGACACAGACACCCTGTAATCCCAAAGGTGCCAGTTTGCCTGATTCCCCTCTCTTTCCCCCAAGGTTCCCCAGGCCACTTACTGGCCTCTTCCTGTCCTTGATCCCCAGCACAAGGAATAGTGCCAAGTACAGAGGAGAGCAGATGCTGAAAAGTACTTGTTGAATGTATTAGTGAATGAATGAATGAATGAACAAATGAATCAGTCCAGCAGTGTGTGCGCTACTTGTCCAGTATGTGTGGTAGTCACCAGCCTGTCTGTGGGCAGGTGGTCTCCTCCCAGTGGGCATCATCAGTAACAGGACACACGCAAAGACGCCAGCCAAGGCTTCACTGAAGAATAAGGAGGGGGGACAATGAAGAAATGGTGGAGCCCTGTGGGGCCAGAGAGCCCAGGTCCTCTTCTGGGCAGCTCTTGGTACCCCTGCTAGGGGACCCTGAGGGTCACATGTGCATGACTGTGTCTTCTGAGCGAACTCCCCTGCAGGGCATCTGCCTGCCTTAGAGCCAGAGTCTGTCGTTCCAGTCCTGGTACTAAAAGCAGAGTTGCAACAAAATTGTGTTCTAGGTTTGCCCTTTGGTCGTGTTTTTCTCTTACGTGAACATTTTCTATCATGAGTGCCCTGAGGCACCTGTGACAGCATCCTCAGGTCCTGCGTGGTGTCCCCGGTTCCATGAGGTCGGAGCACCCTGAGAGCTCCCTCCTCACATCGAGCAACCTCTCTCCAGTCAAACCTACAGGCAATGAATTAGGACTAATTTCTCAAAGGATCACCACCCCCAAGTCATTCCATTTGGAGGACTTAGCTCCAGGCTGGCTCAGCGGCTGGTGGGCGAGGCTTGTGCTTTCTCGGAGCTGCATTCCACTCACTGAGGATGTGAGTCCTCTCCCATGGGCCACTCTGAAGGGTGAGTTCTGACCCGGGCTCTGCTTGGTCCATGCTGCAGCCTCCCTGTGATTTCTCATCACCAGCTGCTCACCTCCCTCTCGGGACTTTCCTACATTGGTGCCATGCACAGGGAACCTCTCTAGTGTGAATGAGGAAATGACCAGAAATTTCCCCTTATTCATGATACTTAACGATTACTTCTGCTATATGAATTCTTTGGTAGGCTGGCAAGAACCCAGTCCAAATGTTTGGCCATGTGTATCATGACAGTGGAGCGAGGTCTGGGTTTAATCTGCGGTTTCCCTAAGTGATGTCCTTGGGAAACCACAGACTGCATACAACATGCAGATCTTCATCAGCATGGAGTCTCCAGATCCCAGGGTCTGAGGAGTGCAGTCGCCCCACCGCATGCTCGTGCCCAGTTTCACCTGGGCAGGAAGGCTGACAGCATGTGCTTGGCCCCTGCCTCACTGTGATGGTACGGTGAGGGAAAAGAGTTTCACAAGCCCCGGCTTCTGAGAAGCCAGGCTCTGGGGCTGCATGAACACCCTGGCCTCGGGCTGCTTCCACTTGTGACCACAGGACCAAGATGAGGAAGTACTGCTGGCACCCTTTACTTCACAAGGGCAATGATGAGTGATCCATCTTCTCAGCTCCCACAGCTGCAGCCTGTGTCGCAGTTCCCACCGTAATGCCCCCACCATGCCGAATCCTCCCATCCCCCAAACACAGTCTAAAGCCCACCCCTTCCCTGATGCCTCCCCAGGTCTCTGCGGGCCTGCAGTTAGCTGCCCACCCAGCTCTTGGGTGAGAGTTCGCTGTAAGCCCATTTAGCATGGACGAATGCTCGGGTCTTTCTTGACCTATCTTTGCCTTTTTTTCCTCATACTTGAAGTTCTTTGACAAAGAACCACATCTTACATTCTGCAGTGCACTTCTGAACACCAAGGGACTTGGACTATTTGTGGATGGTGACTCTGTATGGCCGTGGACACCTCAATCAAAGCAAACAGAAGGGTAACTGGGGCTGCCATGGATGGAGAAGCAGTTACTGTTGAGGTTATAGCTTGCCCTCTCTGGGATGGCTGTCAGTGGTCCTCTTCCAGATCATACAGGAGGAAGGTGATCTCATCCTCATTGTCATTCCCTTCCCTCAACACCCACCCCTGCCCCCAGCTGCCACCAGACAGACCAGCCAGATCAGCCCTGATATCCAGAAGATGACAGGTACGTCCGCCAGAGAAAGCCTCCGCTCTGCCCGAGAAAAGCTGCTGGCTGCCTTGCACTGCACTAATCCTGGAAGCAACCTTGCATTAGTGCACCTTGGGGAGGATGCGGCATGGAACAAGCAGGAGATCCCTGTTGTTGCAGAGCTGTCCCTTCAGTGTCCTGGTTACGTATGACTGGCTGAGGGGCCATCCTCATTGTGAGCATAGAGCT